GATTCAAATTCACTTGTTTTTTAACAGCAAACACTACTAAGCTCTACTTAATTGCTTCCAAATTAATGAACTTCTATCCCTTCTATCAGTAAAAAATCATGCTCAGCTTTCCTAAAATTTCCCATACATAACAGTGTGTCTTCTTTGAGACACGATGAGGGAGTTTCTGGGGCAGCCCCTGAAAATTACAACAGCACCACTGGCAACCGCTGGAATTGGGGGTGTGTGTGCACAGGGGAAGGAGGTGGTTGGTTGGGGGCTCATGTGGAGCATGGCTCGTTGAACTCCACGTAAAGCTTTACCATAAGGGATGGCTGGAGAAACAACTCAACAGGACATCATTTTTCCATTGAATCTGGTGTTTGGGGATCTTTGAATCATAAGTTTTTTTTTTTTCTTTTGCTAGTGAGACCATCCAAGCCCAAGTGTGAGCTGGAAGGAGAGCTGACAGAAGGAAGTGACCTGACTTTGCAGTGTGAGTCATCCTCTGGCACAAAGCCCATTGTGTATTACTGGCAGCGAATCCGGGAGAAGGAGGGAGAGGATGAACATCTGCCTCCCAAATCTAGGATTGGTAAGTCATCTTCCTACCAGTCGATTGAGCCAGCAATACTCTACCCATGAATTCTAAATTGACTTTGGCAGCAACTCACTATGTGACCTTGAATACACTGCTGAACCTCTTGAACTTCCATTTTTTTATCCATAAACTAGGACATAAAATCTGTCTTTTCTTTCCTCAAATGACATGTAAAAGTGATAAAGAAATTAGAAGAAATGTATATAGAAATCTACTATATCTATCTTAATATCCCTTAGATATTCATGATCTTTTGTAACTTTTGAGGATGTGCTACAACTTCAGTGAATGCTTACATTTCTTCCCATGTTCCAAAAAGGGATGTTTTCTATCATTTCATCCATTCCAAATTGTATTAAAGAATCTTAGGTTAATGATGCAATAAACAATAAATATAGATGCTATCACGAAGGGATTTACAGTCATTCTTTCTGCTTGTGTAGACTACAACAACCCTGGACGAGTTCTGTTGCAGAATCTCACCATGTCCTCCTCTGGACTTTACCAGTGCACAGCAGGCAACGAGGCTGGGAAGGAAAGCTGTGTGGTGCGAGTGACCGTACAGTGTAAGCATCCAAAGGTGTTTTTTGTTTCACGTTTTAATTTTTGCGTTGTGGTTCAGTTAAGACATTTTAATCAGGAGTAAGGTCAAAGTCTTTATTTCCAGAAGGATGTGGCTATCACCAAAATAATTCAGTAGTTGTGCAAGGACTATTCAACAGCTATATCTGACTCTATATTTACAAACGTGCGAATTAATCAGCCCCCTAAAAAAATGTACTATGTCCAGGAGGGAACTAAATAAATACCAGTCTTAAAAAATAAATACAGGCCGGGTGCGGTGGCTCACGCCTGTAATCCTAGCACTCTGGGAGGCCGAGGCGGGCGGATTGTTTGAGCTCAGGAGTTGGAGACCAGCCTGAGCAAGAGCAAGACCCCGTCTCTACTAAAATTAGAAAGAAATTAATTGGACAACTAAAAATATATAGAAAAAATTAGCCGGGCATGGTGGCACATGCCTGTAGTCCCAGCTACTCGGGAGGCTGAGGCAGGATTGCTTGAGCCCAGGAGTTTGAGGTTGCTGTGAGCTAGGCTGACGCCATGGCACTCTAGCCCGGGCAACACAGTGAGACTCTGTCTCAAAAAAAAAAAAAAAAAGAATAATACTTAATTACCTCATAGAGTTTTTATGAAAATTAAGTAAATTAATACATTTACTTACCACTGCCTGGGAACAGTGCCTGACACATGGTAAGTATTCAATAACATTAGCTATTATTATTATTAATATTTTCGCTTAATCAATTTGGTAACTTTAGACTTCTGAACCAAAGCTGATTTCCATAAGCCATGCTAGCACCATTAAAATTTATTTACACAAGCCTGGGCAACATATCAAGACCCCATCTATGAAAAGTAAGAAAAATTAGCTGGGTGTGGTGGCATGCGCCTACTCCCAAGTAGTCCCAGCTACTTGGGAGACTGAAACAGGAAGGTCTCTTGAGCCCAGGAGTTCAAAGCTGCAGTGAGCTATCACCGTGTCACTGCACTCCAGCCTGGGCAACAGAGCAAGACCTTGACTCCAAAAACAAAAAACCCACAAAAAAACAAATTAATGCAATAAATAGTATACCAGGCTCATAATCTAAAGATTGAATCTTGAAAAAAAGACAGGATAAACCAAGTTAAAAGACAAAAATGAACTGAGTGTGTATCTATTATCTATTTCTGTATAACAAATTACCCCAAAACTTAGTGGCTTAGAATGGCTTTTATTATCTCTTAGTTTCTGTGGGTCAGAAATTCAGCGGTGGCTTAGCTGGGAGGTCTGGCTTGGTGTCTCTCCTCAGAAGAGATTTTGAGCACAAAGTCCGCTAGTGCTGCAGTCATTGCAAGGCTCGACTGGTGCTGGAGGATCTGGTTCTGAGATGGCTCATTCACATGCTGTTGGCCTCAGTGCCTCACCACATGGGCCTTTACATAAGGCTCTTAACAGCTGGCTTCCCACAAAGTGAGTGATCCAAGAGAGAGAGGATCTAAGAAAGAGTGGTCTGAGATCTAAGAGAGGGAGCTGCAATGCTTTTTTTTATGATGATGTCTCAGATATGACATACCATCACTTTTGTTGTATTCTACTAATTAGACGTGAGTCACTAAGTTCAGACCACAATCAAAGGGAGGAAAATGAAGCTGTACCTCTTGAAGGGAGAAGTAGCAAATAGTTATGTACACATATTTTTAAAATCTCATAACCAAAGTACATAAATACATAATAAAAAACTCTTTCAGCTGGGTGAAGTGGCTCACACCTGTTATCCTAGCACTTTGGGAGGCTAAGGCAGGAGGATTGCTTGAGGTCAGGAGTTAGAGACCAGACCACGTCTCTATTATTAATAAAAATAGAAAAATTAGCCAGGTACTTGCCTATAGTTCCAGCTACTCAGAAGGCTGAGGCAGGAGGATCGTTTGAGCCCAGGAGTTTGAGATTGCAGTAAGCTATGATGACACTGCTGTACTCTATCCTGGGTGAAAGAGCGAGACTCTGCCTCAATCAATCAATCAATCAATCAGTAAAAAAATAAAAATAAAGAACTCATTCAAATCAGTGAGAAAATAGCAAAACCAAAATGGGTACAGATGTTGTTGAAGTATAATTTTCAAAAAGGTAAAATCTTGACTCTGACAAATTAAAGATTTTATTTAATTAATTACTTAATAAGGGATCTAGTAAGATGTTAAAAGCGGTCCAAAGAGCATTTGAGAAATTAGGTATAGAGACACAATTTAACAAAGAGATTTTAAGATTGCTGGGTTAGACATCAAACTGGTTAATGTCCTACAAAGTCATAGACTTTAATTTCTGTGGTCATTTGTTTAACTACATCAGTAATTATTTCCATCTCTACTGGATGGCAGTCTACAAATTGCCCCTACAAAGTGGTAAATTGCCAAGCACTGCACTTCTTTTGTCTATTTTCTAGTTTCAGATAATTTTTCTTACAAATTTAACAGGTAGTTCACAGAAAAATAAATACAAATGGCCAAGAAACATAAATAAGAGGCCAGGAAACTCCACCCTGTTTATTTTAAGCTATCTAATTAGTAAATATAAAAAATGTAGAACCAATTATTGGAAAAGTTATGGGGAAATAGGTGATTTTACATTTTTGACTAGAGTATAAATTTGTAGCACAATTTAGCTTAATCTACAGATCTGGGGGGGGGTAAGTACATTGAAGTAAAACATACACAAAGAAGGGTGAGTGTACGACCTGATAGATTTTCAAAAGTGAATATACCTGTGTAGGCAGCACCACGATTAAGAACCTGTCCCTACCTCTTGCCAGCCCTCCATTATCCATATCTCTAACTTTACGGATTGGTTTTCCTGTTTTATAACCTTCAATGAATGGAATCATTCCATTTGTGTTTGGTTTCTTTCATCCCACATTATATTTAGGAGATTCATTATTGTTTTTGCTTGTAGCTGTAATATGTTCATTCTCATTTTATAGTATTTTGTTGTACGAGTATACCACAATTAGTGGTCTATTTTACTTCAGATGCAAAAATGTATTCCATTTTTTATCCAGCAATACTTTGGTGAATTTAACTTCTAGAGACATTCCACGAGTGTGTAAATACGCATGAAAAATGATATATTATTTTCAATTGTGAGAAACTAAAAGCATCCTAAATTTCTATTAATAGAAAATTCATCTATATTATATGTGTGTTGGGGCTGGGGCAGCGGGGAAAACAGCATTCCCTAATTGATATTGCTTAGGTAAAATAAATGCCAGTCCCTCGAGACCTTAAATAAGATATCCAAAGTCCAATTTCTTTAAAAAATTAAATTATAAAGATAGTAGGACAAGAATAAACAGTGTGCCTTTAATCTCAGTACTCTGGGGGGCCGAGGAGGGAGGATCACCTGAGGCCAGGAGTTCAAGACCAGCCTGACACCACTGCACTCTACCCCGGGTAAAAGAGGGAGACCTTGTCTCAAAAGAAAAAAATTAAAAAGGGAATAAACAGCAAATTCTGTTGACTATACATCCAAAACACAGGCAATATCCATCTACCTGTTTCTATGTACATTACTTCTCCCCTAGCCTGATCCACTACCATCTCTAGCCTGCACTATTATAAGCCTCCTAACTAGTGGCCCTGCTTCCTTTCCTACCTCGCCACGATCCATTTTCTCTAGAGTAGCCAGAGTGTCCTTTCTCAAATATAATTTGGATCATGTTATCTTGCGTTGCTCTTACAATAAAATCCTTGGCCAGGTATGGTGGCTCACACCTATAATCTCAACACTTTGGAGGCTGAGGTAGGAGGATTGCTTGAAGCCAGCAGTTCCAGGCCAACCTGGGCAACATAGCAAGACGTTTCCACAAAAAATAAAAAAATTAGCTAGGCATGGTGGTACATGCCTGTAGTCCCAGCCACTCGGGAAGCTGAGGTGGGAGGATTGCTTGAGCCCGGGAGTTTCAACGCTGCAGTGAGCCATGATTGCACCACTGCATCGCAGCCTGGACAACAGAGCAGAACCCCATCCCTAAAAAAATAAAAAAATCCTTGCCATGGACTGTAAGGCCCTATGTGAGCTGGTCTCTTCCTGTCTCCATGACCTAATCTTCCTACATTCTCTTGCTCACTATGCTCCAGACCCATTCACATTCATCACACTTACTATTCCTTCTGCCTGGAATGCTCTGTTCCTAGATCATGACAAGATAGTCTATTTATTATATCATTTATATCTCAACTCAAATGTCTCCTCTTCAAAGTCCTGATCACCCAAACATTAAGTGGTAGTCCTCTGTTCCCCCACTAAAATATCACTCATCCACTTTTGCCTTCATAGAATTTATCCATTATCTGAAATTATCTTTATTTATTATCTGTTTCCCCCCTTCTGGAATGTAAACTCAACGAAAGCAGAAACCTTGTCTGTCTTCACCCATGCCTAGAACTGTGCCTCGCTCAGGGTAGGCACTTAATAATAGGTATCTGGTGTATGAATAAAAGAATGTGTGAGTTACTAATGTGCAAATCACATTTACCTTTATTTCTGAATTTCTAGGATTCACTGGCAAATCCCAGAGTCTAACATTGTAGGTGAAGTT